CCTGCTGACATGCAAAGACTTGTGTCTGTACTTGCCAGGGGAAGCAAGAAGGCTAGAGTATTAAAAAGTGTAGTTGAACCTGAAAATCCTTAACCTGAATCTGTGGTTGGCTTTTTGCTTTGATCTTTTTTAAACGCTTAGTGATTTGGCAGTATGAGCCCTTTATGACTTATTTCAAGCTTCCAGAAGGTCTTGTAGATTCTCTCCCTGATGAAGGTTTTTGCCTTGCTGGCAAGACAGCGATACAGAACGCTGTTTCTTGTCTTGAAGAAGAGGAGAGGCCCCTCTGATTTTAGTGTTGGTGTAAAGTTCCAACGCAAAACGTGATTCATACAGTGTCGCTTTCCGCTGCTAGCTGGGCACTTGTGACACTACCACAACAGCCCCTTGAATGATGAGCAACTCAACAGGGCTGCACGGTATTTTAAGCTGTCGTAAACTTGACTCTGGAAGTAGGGATGCTACTAGTCAAAGCTAACTCTGCTTTACATTTCGTGCATTAACTGTGGTTTGTTTCCTTTCTGCAAAAATGATCAGCCTTATTCCTTGGGAGACTGAAGAAGTTGGACTGCCTAGTCAGTTCTCAGCTCTCAGGAATTCTGTCTCTCGAGACACAGCTCATGGGTACCCAGGCGTCTTGCAAGGTGGAAAGGACCCTTTCTCCAGTCAGTGAGATTCTGTGAATTTAGGTTACTTCTGGTTTGTAAGCGGGCAGTAAATTCAGGCAGTGAAAGCCCAAGCAGCTGAATGGATACAGCATGACTTTAGTGACTTGCAGCATGCAATCAGGGGAGCGTCATCTCAGTTAACCCTCTGAAGTAGTGGCATGGTTGGCCCATTATCTCTGAACAGTTGCAAAGGGCAGATGTGTGTTAGCTCATGAACACTCGTGTGAAAACAAGGTGGATTTGACATACTTGTGGAATACACAGTACCTCTTCTTTTTGGTAAAAGGGGTTTCGATGCAAAAAAATGGTCAAAATCAGGAAGTGCTTGTGTGAAAATTCCCATTTATTTTGAGTTAACATCTTTACAGAAACACTTTCGAGGGTGAAAGCTGAAGTTGTTTTAGTTTCCTAAGGCAATAAAATACACCTTGTGACTAGCTGTATGTAGACAGGCAGATTGCAGTGTGCAGTAACTACCTGTCCTTGGAAGCTGAATGAGAATGCTGCTGTCTGACGGTCCAGCTGTATGGCCATGTTAGTCGCTCCCCTTAACAGCAGTCTGTTGTGAAGCGCTAGAGGTTGCCGAAACTCAAGATCTGTGGAGGCCAAACACCATGACCATCTGCCAAGGACAATTTCGTAC